CTCTCTCTCTCTCTCTCTGTACTTTTACATCGCATCCCATATTCTAGACGTTCTCCAAATCCAATCAAAAAGCCAAATGCATTGCGAAACACTTCTAACAGCAACCCATGCAATCGTGTATGTTTTTCATGCCTCGTCCCGATGCGGCGCGGTCGACAGCTACTGGAACGCCGAGCTCTTGGCGTTGCGCACAATCTCGTCGCGCGTAATGTTGCTGCGGACGCACATCGAGTGGAAGATGCCGTCGTCGCGCTCAAACAGCTCGAGCGGGCTGGCGTACTCGGCGAGCTCGCCCTTGTCGAACACGGCGATGCGGTCGTACGACAGGATGGTGCGCAGCCGATGCGCGATGCACAGGATCGTCCGGTTGCCAAACTCCTCCCGGATCGTCTGCTGGATCTTGGCATCCGTCTCGAGATCCACCGACGCCGTCGCCTCGTCCAGCAGGATGATCTTGGAGTTCTTGACCAGCGCGCGCGCCAGCGACACGAGCGAGCGCTGGCCCACCGACAGATTCGCCCCCTCCTCCTCGATCACCGTGTCCAGGTTGATGCGCGATACGTTCCTGCCCGGCGTAGCGTCGCCCGGTACAGCGAGCGCCGCCTTCTCGTCGTCGTGCGACGACGCCGTCTCGCTCGCCGGCTCCGTAACGGGCATGATTGGCGTAGCCGCACCGTGCGTGTTCGTGTCGTCGCCAATCAGGTACGCGCGCTTCAGCGCATCGTTCAGCCTCGCGTCGTCGTAGATGCCAAACGGATCCAGGTTCGAACGCAGCGTGCCGCTGAACAGAAGCGGCTCCTGCGGCAGGATGGCCAGCTTGCGACGCAGATCCTCCAGCCCAATGTTGCCTACATCCACCCCGTCGATCTCGATCGAGCCCTTGCTCAGCTCCACCAGACGCAGCAGCGCAGTGAGCAGCGAACTCTTGCCGGCACCCGTGCGGCCGACGATGCCCACCTTCTCGCCGCTGCCCACCTCAAACGAGATGCCCTTGAGCACCGAGGGCAGGCCAGGTCGGTAGCTCAGCCAGATGTCCTTGAACGAGATGCGGCCCTCCTCGGGCCAGGACTCTCGCGTCGGGTTGTCGGTGCGCGTCTGCGCCTTCTCCTGCTCCAGCTCCTCGGCGTAGTACAGCAGACGCTCCACCGATGCCGAGTCATTTTCCACCTCGGCAATCTGGCGCGTCATCCAGGAGAAGGCCTGGGCGACGGTGAGCATGTAGGTGAGCGCAATCCCCGCGTTGCCGCCCGTGATCGGCGTCGAGCTGGCCGTGGTGAGCAGCGCGACGATGAGCACGAGCAGCGCACCCAGCATGTCGAGGCGCACGCCCAGCCAGCGCTGGTTGGTGATGCTGAGGTAGTAGGCGCGGTTCTCGATGTCCATGCGCTTCTGGTTCTCGCGAACGAACGTCTCGGTCTCGCGGTAGGCGCGAATCGTGGCGAGTCCCGACAGCGTCTCGGAAAAGTGCGAGTAGAGGCTCGATCGCAGAATCGCATCGAGTCGCTTCACCTCTCGCGCCGACGAGCGGTAGAAGAGAGCGCCGAAGAAGTAGAACACAAGCACGACCGCCACCGCAATCACAAAGTAGTGTGTGAGGATGGTAATGAGGATCACAGCACCCGCCACCGATGCGATCGTGTTGGCAGCCATGCGCACGGCGTCGGCAAGCTGGTTGTCGACCACATCAACG